CCACACAGTGAACACCCAGCTGGGCAGCAGGTCTGGAGCCCTATCATAGAGCAGTTCATTACCCCAATCAGAGCGGTGACATTTTTGCACCAGTGGGCACATCTTGCCTGGCAGATAGGTGTTATAGTGTATAGGAGTCCCAGTCGATTACAATGATTGCTGCATCCCCTCCACCCCCTGGAAGCCTGCACGGTGCCTTCCGTAGCTATGAAAGCTAGCTATGAGTCTCACTTCCAGTTGGATTTCTCTGTCTTGCAATGAAGGTAACTGGAATCTTCAGCAACAGGGACATACCAACTAGTTTTGAAGGCCAACTGAGAAGAATGGCAATAGCCTTTATTGTTTTGGTAGCTGGTGGGACTCTCCTAAATAGTACAGGTTGGTTTATTTTTTTTCTTTTGAGGGCCATGTCAAAAATGTACCATTTGAGCTAAAGAAGGCAGCCACATTGTGCTACTAACAGCTAATCAAGTGTCACAAGACTAAAAACTTTCTCTTTTATCAACCTACACAGGAAGTACTGACACAATGTTTGAGAAAATGGAGCAAATAAAAAATGTTCTATTTTAGTCAGATGGTGGTGGCACAGCCTTTAATGCCAGGCCTTGGGAGGCAGAAGCGGGCAGATCTCTGTGAACTCCAGGCCAGCATGGTGAGTTGCAGGACAGCCAAGAAACCCTGTCCTGAAAATCCAAAATTGAAGGCACCACCTGAAGACAAATGGCATAGAGGAAACAATCTTAAATATTATTAAAATAAGAAGAATTTATAGTATGGAGAGGTGGCTGCTGGGACATTATAATTAACAATTAATTAATATTCCTTGCTAGAACTTATAAGGGGAAATTAGTAGAATGCTAACGGGAGATGTCATTCTGTAAATATGTTTCTCTTATTACTTAATGAATGAAGCACTGTTGGCCAGTAGAGAAGCAAGATAGGCAGGACTAGGAGACAAGGAAGATTCTGGGAAACGTAGGAGGGAGTTGTAATGCTATCTCAGGAGGAGAGGACTTGAGTCTGGCTTTCTCCGTAAGGTAAGACCATGTAGAAGTACATATATTAGTGATTATGGGTTAGTATTTAAGACAGAGCTAGCCAATAAGAAACCATAGCCAATGGCCAACAGTTTCATAATTAACACAGCATCTCTGTGTGTTATTGGGGCTGATGACGTGGTCTGGGGCCAGGCTGGCAGGAAAGCGCTTGTAACAGAATGCTGTTTACAAAGAACCACTACTCTGTCAAGCTGGTAATGAATGAGTCAACATGCTGTGTTCAAAATTGAAAGTAACAGCAATGCTGAGGGAACAGGCTGCAGAGAGCTCCACTGACTTTGCTGGTGAGCAAGCAGAAAGTGTCTGTGCTTACACAGAGCTGAATCGGATTCCAGTAACACAGTTCTCCATTCTACACAGAACTGTATTCCACAGTACGGATATCCAGATGGTGAAGTGAACACGATCAAACTTGCCAGATTCTTGCTTCGTTTCAACTTCACAGGAAGACAAAGCATTGCTGCATTTATGAAAAGTAAAATGCATGCTACTAAAAAGTTTACAGGCTCAAAGAAATGCAACCTTGGGAAATCATGATTAAACATGATGCATTCATGGCAGGAAAGATGGCTCAGTAGTTAAGAGTACACACTACTCTTGCAGAGGACCTAAGTTCAGTTCCCAGTACCCAAGTGGGTTGGCTCATCACTGCCTGTAACTCCAACTCCAGGCAATTTGCTGCCCTTCTCTGGCCTTCATGTGCACCTGCACTCATGGGCACGTACAGGCATACAGAAGTACACAGATGAACATAATTAAAAATAAATACAATGAAAAAATAGTGATAGATATATCAAATAAAATGCAATTACTACTTTCAAATATTTGGTATAAAACACTGGGAGATGGCACAGCACGAGCCTGATGATACCCTAGGATCTGTGTTTTAAGAGCCAGATAACTACATCCTAATCCTAGCACCATTGAAATGAAAGAGACAGACACAACGGAGAAGTCCCCCAGAGCATCACAGGTGCTAGCATGGAGTATGCAGACAACAGTAGGAACAAGAGACCCTGCTTCAACAAGGGGGAAGACAACTGACCTCTAAATCTGTCCTCTGTGTGCCCATGCACAGCTATGCTCACACACATGCGCCCTGGTCTCTTCTCTCCCCCCAACTCCTCTCTCTCTGTCTCTGTGTCTCTCTCTCACACAGATAAACATTTAAAATGTTTGATAAGAAAATCAAATTATTTAATTAAAAAACCATTAGTACAATATTTTAGAAATTGTATTTTTAATAGAAGAGTAGAAATTTAAGAATTTTAAAAGTTTCGATTGTAAAGGGTCAAAATTGTTCTAATTCATAGCAACAGTAAGAAAAGAGCTTTATAGATTGTTTATTGTTTCCTATTGCTGTTGATGTGAACAAATTTTTTATTATGGTGTAGAATACTAACTAGTCTTGTCACCGACTGCATGACAATGTTTCAAGCAAAAAAAAATTTTAATTTCAATATCTACTTCATAAGGCTCTGATTTTATTTTCAGTATTATACAGTGTGTAAATATACATACATGTGTATATATATGTGAGATCTGTATAGATATATGCATAATTTAATATATAAATTACACATGTACATATGTAAAATACATACACATAGTAAAAGACACTTAATAAATGCTTCTATCTAACTTCATAAGGATACCTCTTAGCTTGTCCTTGCTTGCATATTATTTCTCTATCAGCACACAGTATGTCATGAGAAATTACTAGGAAGTTTAGCAGAACTGATGCCTATTTATTTTCTCCCAGCTGAAGATCTTAACAAAATGCAATAAACAAACAAAAGCATAGCATAATGTACTTTTGTCTAATGTAATCTCTGAGATCTCATAATAGCAAATTCTTTCAAAATGCAATACTTCAAAGGCCTGGGGATATTAATATCTCAGTGGCAGAGTACTTTCCTGGTTTGAATTTATCTAGAGTTAAAGCCCCAGTACCATAAAATAAGAATGACAATAATAATTATAATAATAACACTAACATATCAGTAAGTCCTCCGAACACGTTTCTAAAATATATTCATATAGGTTTTCTCTTCTACAAAGTACGATTATAATTTCTATTTATGAAATGCTTTTCTTATACTATAGCCTAATAATCAAGAGCTTCTTACAAAGCAACATTAAAACATTCAAAATCTTTATTCCATTATTTATTGCTAAACAATGCATAATGATTACTTAACTTTAATTTTAGACTTTTAGCTCATTATCTTATTTCTATTTCATGAAAAAGTTTCCATGATTAAATATCTCTCACTCTGTTATCATTATGTAAGATAACCTTAAAGAGAAAAGGTCAAGTCTATATTTTCGAAGAGAATCCATGGAAAAGCATTCAGGCCATCCATCCCAGGATTCTGCTGGCTCTTCCCAAGTACAGGCCTCCGACTCTGAAGTAAAACCCTCTCTACTTATGGAAGATGTGGATGTCCACAGGTGGAAGCCCCACAACCCTCACACATTGTTGGTAAGGACTCTCAGACCTCCTCCTTTGGGCACCCAAACTACACTCCCAACCCAGGAAGTCTTCTGCCCATGCTATCAACCAAGCCTTCCGCTCCCTCTTCCTAGGGCATTCCAATCCCACCATCTGAAGACCTGCATCAATTACCTACTAGCTCTTGAGGAACAATCCAAGATCCTCACAAACCATCAGCTTTCCCTCGGCTCTGCCTCCCATCATCATCTAGAGACCTGTATTGGAGCATCTGCTTGCACATGAAATGGCTTTTCAGATTTACTTATTGATGCCTTAGTCCTGTTGAGTCAGGTTATTTGCTGATTAACTACTCACCCCCAAGAGAACCCGCTGGTGAAGTTGGAAGCTCTAAGCCAGCTGGATGAGAGTCACGTTACTAATTCCACACATGAGTCAGCAACAAGTGGCTGTAAGTAGTTCCTAAAACTTTCCAAGTCAATACAGATCAAATGCCTACTCCCCACAGGTGAGCCAGAAACTCCTACCAAAAATACAACCATTAGCCTAACTGATATAAGGGAAGTCAACCACTCTCTGATTGTGTTCAAGGCCTGCTCCACTTGAGAGTATTCAAACCTGTATTATCCCTAGGAATACTACTGCTGTTTATCTAAATTGATGGTGCACTGACATCCAAATATTTATGTTTATACCCAAAGAAAAATACCATTCTTCATAGTATCTCAGCCTTAATCTGAGAATCTCTTCTTTGCAAGGAATGCTGAATAAAGATTTATAGCTACTTACCACATAGAAAATTAAGCAATGGTTGAGTGGTTAACCCTAAGAGAACATTTATCCCATCCTCTCTAAAGTTCAGGCAGTATTACAGAAGACAGGGCTTAAAGAATGTAAGAGCCAGAAACAGATAATGGCTGTAAAATGCTATTCTCTGTGTATGACATAGTAACTGCCATCAACATCTCACAAAAACTGTGATTGCCTTCACCAGGCTCACACAACACCAGGCCTATCACAACTCAATCAGGGACAGGGAAGGAGCTTAGAGGGCCCTACCTGTTCCTGCTGGACTACTGACTACCAAGGGGTTCCAGGGGAAAGACGGTTATTTTTCCAACTGTGCACCCACTGGTGAGCAATGGATAACTTCAAATCCATGGTCACACAGATGACCCTAGCTAAACAAGAATGTCACAAAACAAAACAAAAGGCTATGAATCTGGGAAAGAAACTTGAAGTAAAGAAGGGGTGAGTTGACAGGGATAGAAGAGAGAAATGAGATGGGAGGAGTTGAGAATACTCATAATACTATATATACATGTATGAAACTGTCAAAGAACAGATTTCCTACCTGCTATATTTAGGTAGGAACGTGAATAAGAATTATTAGGGCACGGTATACCTATAAGATAATAATCTAAGAAAGCTAAATATGGTGTTTCTTAAGTTCAAATCTCCTTTAAAAACAGATTTTTAAGTCTTACAGAAATATGCAGCCTTGGCACCCAAAGAAATGCAGAGGTCAGAAGCCTGGAGAAATGCTGGAGGAACCGGAATGTCTTCTCTCTATCCCCCAACATTATGAGGAACAGAGAAGACACAAACCAGTCATGGCCCGTGTAGTTCCCTTGCAGGCACACTGCAGAAGAGTTAAGGAACAGTCATGTTGTCTTAGGAGATACACAATTTCATAAATACTCACTTTTAGGATCTCTAGCCGGAGAGTTATTAATTGTATGCAGTAAATCACTTCACTCAATTTAAGGATCATTTAATAAAATGTGTGTTTCCAAAACAGAATAAAATCCTATAAAACTACACTGTAAGAATTCACACAGTAGTTATTACTTATTACAGATAGGTTAACACATCCTACGAACAAACTATGGGAAATATAGGAAGACAACTCAATTCTGCATGAATCCACTCAAGGATATGAAGAGAAGAAGTCACTGATGACTGCTGTTGTTTCAGGAATCTCTCACAGTGCTTTAAGACCAGGGCAAGATCATTTTCTGCGCCATCTTTTAACAAGTTGAGAAACTTGCCATACCTATGTTAAAGGCCGAAAACAAAACAACAACATAAAACCCACAGAATAAAAACTATCAGGATCTTCCCTGGACATTCATCTTTATACATCCATTAAAGTGTTTTTCTCTTGAGATCTCAAGGTCTGATGTTTTCAAGACTCTACTTCGAGGGTGACAACGCTAAACAAGGCACTCAATATTCATTCCTGATAGTTACAACACATTTGGATCAGCAACATTAACTGTTAACATCCCAGGGTGGTGAAAACAGTGATGAGAAAGTAAAATGATAGTAGGCCACAGAAGAGGAGAAGAATGTAAGAAGTTTGTCTGAAATGAATCGAAAACACAGATTACTGGGTTTAGTTTATGGAATGTTAAGTCAAGAAGTACCTGTGGCGGTCATCTATAAATACTGGATATCAAGAGGGGTTTGGACATTTTGGATTGTGACTAGGACAGACCTGGACCAAAACTTGAAATGTCTTGGCAATTACATGGATCAAACAGCTATTCATAGTTAGCTGAAAGAAATTCAGTTTTATCTAAGTCTCTCTATTTTAGACACACTGAATGTTGTGTTGTAATCAAGGGAAAACAGTACATCGGTTCCCTTTCCAACCTTCCTAAGACCTTACTTGGTCTAACACCAAGGAAGTCTCCTGCTTAGTGGCAACACTGCTAGTGAATTTCGTGTTTTGTTGCCGCTGTTATCTCAGTCACTCAACAGGATGGTAGCTACACCATACCACAGTCTATCCAAACTCTTCATTAGGAACTATTTTGCATTTTCTTTCTATGAATAAGAAATTATATCGAGTTAAAAATGTGTGGCCAGGCTGCATATATAGTCTATAGGTTTCACTGAATTGGAAATGGAGCATTACAGCATACTTTTTTTAGAACATGAATACAGAGTCACATACCATAATCAAAACAGTTATTCTGGCAGAAGTAGATGATCCAGAATTCATGCCATGACTTTCATCACAATGGGTGGTTAGATAAAACTCAAGAGTTTAATAGATCATCACATGTGTCTTCTTCAATATGATTCAAACGGTGACCCACTAATTACAATGGGACAGTTAAGAGCCTCATATTAAATGAGGTCTGTTAAGAACACAAAAAGGAGGTTACTACCCAGTTTGTGGTCACTTCTTTTGAAAATTAATATATGAGATCTGAAAACTCAAACTATGACAATTTTGGTTTATTCACTTGAACTTCTCAGCCTATCCTTAAGGTATGTTTGTCTTCACTGGAACCTGACAACTAGAACAAGTCACGTTTTAGAAGATGTACAATTGTGCCATAGCATGCTGATGTTTACAACGCTGATTTTTTTAGGGGGTGAATGGGTGGGAAAAACCTGATGGTCATAGAGGAACACACTAATTAGCTTTTGGAATAATAATGAGCTGTAACTGATTTATAGCCAGAGGTAATTTAATCATGTGCCAATATCCTCAAAGATAAAACATTATTATTTTCTGAGTGGAGAAGTCTGCATTTAAAGTATAAAAAGTAGTTGGCTATTAAATATTCTCAAGCACACATCAGGTAGAAGAATTTTAGGAATGCATAGGAGAGACATTTCTCCACATACCTGACAGTCATTTTCATGCCGAGCTCCTGTACAGCTGAGAGACTTTCATTCTTCACATTCGTATCAGTAGCTAACAACAACAGAAAAGGGAGTTATAAAAATGTATAAAGTCTGCATAATAATCACATGTTAATTGAAAATTGATGAAAGCAATATTTTTACACATTTTAATGGGAATTTTGAAAACACTGATGAATTTGTTCTTTTAGGAGCTGTCACTTACATTTTCAAAGATATTAACAGAAAACTTTTTACAAAACTTTGATCCTATAAAAATCATTTAAAACCTGGGAGCGGTGAGATACACACATACCAGCACTGGAAGGCAGAGGCAGGAGAATTGGGGTTTTAGGAGGCCAGCCTGGGCTACATAAGCTCTTATCTCTCAAAGAAAATGACACCAAGAAGTACATAAAATGATTAATTCTTTAGTGCAAAACAAGAAAATTCAACAAAACATAAAAAGTGATCTAAAACATGATGCTTCATCATGCTTATATAAAATTCTAAAGGGTAAGTATATGTAATTATGGCTCTGTATTTCTTGCTGACACTCACGTTGAAATCTTTTGGTAGGCCTTGTAGTATGTGCTGCCTTCCAGACTCAGCATGGTTATTTACACACCATTTCAGGGCAGCTGTGATTACTTGCACAAGGCCTTCCCAAGATCAAGCCAGTCAAAATTCCAGCATGGATGGGGGAATGGGAGATGAAGCCCCACCCTTTGTGAAGGAAGTCTTGACAATGGATGGTTTCTGAGAAAGAGTCACTCCTGCGATCATGGTTGCCGGTAGGGTCTCCATGTCTGAGTAGATGGCCACACACCCATGCACATATGGGCAGCGCTGACTGGACTCAAGGGGTTATTGGTGGCAATAATAAAAAGAGCACACGATGTTGGGAAGGAAACAGGGTAGACACACATGAGAAAGTTGGAGGGAGGAAGTGCAGATAGATATGGTGAAAATACATTCTATAAATGTATGAAGTTTTCAATGAATAAAGTTTTAATTTTAAGGGCTAGGATATATAGCTCAGTGGTAGAGTACCTGTTCCTGAGTCCAGTACTCAGCAACACACAATCTTTCAGCAGACCATACTTAACTTTTACTGAATAACATTACATTAGGGTTGAGTGAACTGGTTTCTCTTTTTTATAATTTATTTATTCTTTTAAATTATATTTTACATTCCAACCACAGTTCTCCCTCCCAACCCTAGTCCACTCCTCCTCACAGGTAAGGACTCCCGTGAAGAGTCAACAAAGTCTGGCACAATAGGTTGGGGCAGGGCCAGGCCCCTCTCCCATGCATTAAGGCTGAGCATGACATCCCACCATAGGGTATGGGCTCTGACAAGCTAGTTCATATACCAGGTTTGTACTGGGGTTCTACTGCCAGGGGCCCCTCTGATAGTCCAAGCTTCACAATTGTTTCCCACATATAGAAGGCCTAGTTCGGTCCCCTGAAGTCTCCATAGCTATCAATGAAAGAGGTATCTTAAAAGAGAGAGCCACTATGGGGTTAGGAAGAAACCTGGTATAGGGTAATTCCCAAGAATGCACAAGAGGACCCCCAGCCAAGACTCCTAGAAATAGTGGAGAGGATGCCCAAACAGGCTTACCCCTATAATCAGATTGGTGAATACCCCAACTATCATCATAGAACCTTCATCCAGTAATTGATGGAATCAGATGCAGAGACCCACAACCAAGCACCAGGCTGAGCTCCAGGAATCCAGATGAAGAGATATATGAGCAAGGTAGGTTGAGATCATGATGGAGAAATCCACAGACACAGCTGAGCCAAGCTCGTGGAAACTCATGGGTTTCCCTTTTCAGGTCAGATTTCCTTTGTGACGTAAGAATTGTGATCACTGGCCAAAAGTGGAAAAGGTTCAGCAGACAAGAGAAGATGGAAGTTTGGACTTGGACTGGTTCTCAGACACATGAGCAAGTTAATGTGAATAAAAGCATAGTTAGGTAGCATTCAGAAGTTAGCAGCTGGAATTCTCTACTTCTATCTGAAGAAAGTACAGCATCCACACACAGAAATGAACACTATGAAAGGGTTCATTCACAAATCACACAGTGGCAGAGGGGAAGAAAAGCTAGACTTTCTGAGTCCTATCATTACTGGAGTTTTCCAAGCATCGCATAGTGGTATATCTCATACCACTGATGCAATCTGTTTCAACTTCAGATTCACGCATCCCTTGTAATAAATCATTTCTGATAAAGTGAGGAACACTATGAAGCAGTCATGGGGATAAATGATAAAATGAAATAGCATACACTGAAAGAACTTCCCGTGTAGTGCCAGAGATAAAATGTGTACACAGATAACTGATAAAGGTGTTTCAAAGCTCAAAGCGGAAGAAGAATGGTACAGATAAAACACTGTGTAAGCCCCTCAAAGAGGAAGAGATTACATCTCACTGCTTAAGAAGTGGCATTTAAGCTGAATCTTGAAATATGAGTAGACTTTGGATCTTCAGAGATGGGCAAGAACAAATTAAACTGCACTGCTATTGAGTACAGACTCTGTAGACGAGCAACAATAGATCTTCACTGTTTGCACTGAAGGCAGCCAATAACCCCTGGCTTGACTGTGCATGTTATGTGCCAAATCCCTGAAAGTCTCATGCTTCAGGGACCACTCTGGTCCTTGAAAACTAGACTGCATGCTCACCAATGCTGGAGTGGCAATATTCTCACAGAAAAATAAAACAAAAATAAGTATTATACTTAAAGAAGGGAGGGGAAGCAGAGCTGAGATGGTTCAGCAGGTTAAGGAACTCACAACACAAGCCAGAGAATCCAAGCTTGACCCTGGAACCCAAGTAAGGGATAGAAGGGAGAGCCCACTCCACAAAACTGTCTCCTGACCTCCATACGTGTGCAGGAGAACATGTGTGTCCCCCATACCATAGTAATAGATAAAATCTTTAAAATAAAATCACCTTTTCTAAGAGACTGGGTTAATTCCTTGTAAAAATATATATCTGGGTCATATTTATACTGGGATCCAGTCGGTCACATTAGTTTCTTTTGTCTCTAATGACAGCAATTAGGCTGTAGTTCACACAGCTTAGCATTCGTTATTATGTACAATTCTCACTGAGTTGGCAGATACACTTTCTTTCACTGGCTGAAGAGATGAGCTCTGCCCTTTCAGCAACAGATGACCAATCAGTGGCCACAACAACTCACAGCAAGGGGGCTACTCAATGTCATCTCTAAACCTTCCAAGCTCCTGTATGCCATGAAGCTGTAAGGTACCCTCAGGTCTCTGGTAGAAGGAAATGCACCTATTTTGAAGGGAGGTGAAGGAGACAGCGCTAGGCTCAGTTCTGCTCTATTTGTGAGCTCAGGTTTTTGCTCCTTTTCCAGGCACAAAGTAAGTTTGATTTTCATTTCCATCATTCAGTACTTACACACACACACACACACACACACACATATTATATATACACATACATAAATGTATACACACACATTTCTCACTTCAATAGTTTTACAGTTTATGACTGTGTTTTCACGTAAAAAGCAAACAAGCCGCTCATGTCCAAAGGTGACAGCTCCCAGTTATGGGTGTGTATCAGCATCCTCCAAGGAGCTTTCCAACAGGAAAGAGACACAAGCTCCACTGCACAGCAGTGAATTCAACTGCAAACGGGAGTTCTCTGTCATTTTTAGCTTTAGCTATCTACAGGGTGATTTCTTGGGCATAAAGTTGAGGTCCACGTTCTTTCTATACATGTAAAATACAGATACAGTACAAGTGGACAGTATATTTACTACATATATTTTACTTTAATGAAGGTTACAATTAACCTCAAAAAGGTTTGAAAAGAGTAGTAAAGAGGTACTGAGTATATCAAAATCAGTATCAACTACTTGATTTTTTAAAGTACTATTGTGAAAAGATTAAAAAAAACAAACTTTGATATGAATAAAATCCTACCAATACTTTTTTCTACATTTATGTTTTTCTTTAAAAAAAAAAAAAAAGTCTTCAAAGGAGGAATTAAGAAGTCTTCCCCAGTCCCAAAAATGGTTTCAGAACATACATTAAAGGAGAAGCTATAATTATTGACTTGACTTTGATACATATTGTGACATGTTTGTAAAAGGAAACGAATATTAGCTTATAAAACTTCCACAAAAAAAAAAATAAAAAGACCATGTGTTGACCTAAAGTTCAAACAAAATTTCCATTAGTTCCCTTTGAACATAGCTCCATATGACAGACTGCCTTGACAGTGGCAAATATTCCACAAACATTAGGCAAATAAAAGTTTGTTGGCCTAAAGTTCAAACAAAATATAAAAGATGTGCATATGCATATATGAAATTAAAAGTTACTTTTTGGGTGCTAGAAAGATGGATCAGAGATTAAGATCACTGGCTGCTGTTCGAGATGACCTGGATTCAATTCCAAGCACCCATATGGTTGCTCACAGTCATCTGCATCTCCAGTCACAGGGGATCCAGTGTCTTCCCCTGGCCTCTGCAGGCACTACATTCACACGATGCATACAAACCTACACACAGGCAAGACACTAATAAACAGAAAGATGTAATGATAAAAAACAAAAGAAACACATTATTGAAAGAGCTACATTTTAGAGGCTGGAGAGATGGTTCAGAGGTTGAGAGCACTAGCTGCTCTTCTAGAGGACCTAGATTCGATTCTCAGTACCCAAATGGCAGCCCCCAACTGTCTCTGTGAGTGCCAGGCATGCATGTGGTGCATGTATACAACACCTGTATCCATAAGAATACATAAAACTAATTTCAAAGTTACATTTTAATATTCCAAAGTGAAACCATGTTATCTTTCCAGTCTATAGATAAACTAGTACCAGGAGAAGAGATTTTTATGAATCTACTCCTTTGTAAGGTATATTTAGTATAATATTGCAAAGAAGCAATTATAATACAAAAATATTTTGTTTGTTTGAGAGATGAGCTAAGAAGAAATGAACATCTGTTAAGTTTGCAAAGATACCTGTATGGGTTTAGTATTGACTGCATGTGTGCAGAACTTTTATCTGTTTGTCCATTCTTCTTTCTTTGAGGAAATAAACAACCAAACTAATTTGATTTTTCCAGATTTGCAATTTTATAGTGAGTTGAGATCCCAAGGGAACTAACAACAGATGGATAGTTGTGTTGTTCTAATTTCAGCTACCTTGGGGCTTAGAAAGCTGTCATTTTTTTAAAGACACTCGATTTCTCACTTTAAGAAATACAGAAAAGCAGTGAATATGTCCAGAATTTGTTTTGAAGCATTTTTTATACTAAAGCAAAAGACTTGCCAACTTGCAGTAATTAGAGGAAGATTTCACAATAGTAACCATTGTCCTACAGTCTCAAAACCACATGAGGATGAGGACCCATAGCAGCTTAGACAGAAACCAGCACTAACTCACCGTATCAGAATAATAAATATCCAACTATGAGTCCAAAGGACGCTGCTTTATTTCTGACTTTACTATAAACCTCTGGAAGACAGCTGTTCAGCTGAACCCTTTAAGTAAGTTAAATTCACATTCAAGGCTCATTGGACGGCAAAAGACATTCAATGAATCCCACACCTGAGATTTCACTCCGCACAATTCAGAACTGTAAGGGGTGATAGTAGACACATGCACGTTATTGATCAATCTTGCTAAGTCTTTTGGTAAGAAAAACATCATCTTGTTTTCATTATTATTTGTGGAAAATATGACCCAGCAGAACAACATACCATAAAGAATTACAGAGAGTGGAGAACACCACCCTTCAGCCTGAAGGTCTGCTCACTCTAGTCATAGGAGACTACGTGTTTAGAGTCTGCTACTCGCTTCTTGCTACAGATGTCACTGCGAAAGCCGGTGATGTTCTCAGGCAAGTTTTAAGGTTCATTCGCTCAATTTTAGTTTCCTTCCCAAAAGCGTTTCTTCAAAAATCTTCTTAATCTATGATTCCTCTCCTTTATAGCTCAGTTTCCTTGTTTTAAACATTAACAGTTTGAACGTTAGAGGGTCCTATGACAGGACACATGCAGAACCCCCGCACACATGTAAGCTGAACAGAAGCCCGGTGAATATCAGTTCCGTCCACTTAATCTTTGCAGATCTCTTTTCATTCTCTTAGAGCTTCTTTTATCTTTTTCTCAGTTTGACATTAGAAGTAAATAATTACTACAGAGTCACCTGTGTGTTTATACAAGTCACTCTCTTTGGACTAGCTGTGGAATTAAATTCCTGAGAATAGGGACACTTATTGTGCTGGATAGCTTTATGTCAACTTGACACAAGCTACAGTCACTTGAGGGAAGGAGCCTCAGTTGAGAAATACTTCCATGAGACCAGGCTATAGGCAAGCCTGTAGGTTGTTTTCTTAATGACTTGTGGGAAGCAGCCAGTTTTGGTTGGGGCTGGTGGTCCTGGATGTTACAAGGAAGCATGCTGAGAAAGCATTAGGGGCAAGTCAGAAAGCAACATTCCCCCCAGGCCTCTGCACCAGCTCCTGCCCCCCCCCAGGCCTCTGCACCAGCTCCTGCCTCCCAGGCCTCTGCACCAGCTCCTGCCCCCCCAGGCCTCTGCACCAGCTCCTGCCCCCACCCCCAGGCCTCTGCACCAGCTCCTGCCTCCCAGGCCTCTGCACCAGCTCCTGCCCCCCAGGGCTCTGCACCAGCTCCTGCCCCCCCAGGCCTCTGCACCAGCTCCTGCCCCCCCCAGGCCTCTGCACCAGCTCCTGCCCCCCCCAGGCCTCTGCACCAACTCCTGCCCCCCCAGGCCTCTGTACCAGCTCCTGCCCCCCAGGCCTCTGCACCAGCTCCTGCCCCCCCCCAGGCCTCTGCACCAGCTCCTGCCCCCCCCAGGCCTCTGCACCAGCTCCTGCCCCCCCCCAGGCCTCTGCACCAGCTCCTGCCCCCCCCCCAGGCCTCTGCACCAGCTCCTGCCCCCCCCAGGCCTCTGCACCAGCTCCTGCCCCCCCCAGGCCTCTGCACCAGCTCCTGCCCCCCCCAGGGCTCTGCACCAGCTCCTGCCCCCCAGGCCTCTGCACCAGCTCCTGCCCCCGCCCCCCGCCTCTGCACCAGCTCCTGCCCCCCCCAGGCCTCTGCACCAGCTCCTGCCCCCCACCCCCAGGCCTCTGCACCAGCTCCAGCCCCCCCCCCAGGCCTCTGCACCAGCTCCTGCCTCCCAGGGCTCTGCACCAGCTCCTGCCTCCCCCAGGCCTCTGCACCAACTCCTGCCCCCCAGGCCTCTGCACCAGCTCCTGCCCCCCCAGGCCTCTGCACCAGCTCCTGCCCCCGGCCACCCCCCAGGCCTCTGCACCAGCTCCTGCCCCCCAGGCTTCTTCTTGGTTTGGGTTCCTACCTAACCTTCCCTCAGTAGACTGTGAGTCAGGATATGTAAGCCTAATAAACTCCTCCCACCTCAAGTTGCTTTTGGTCATGGTATTTCATCATACCAGTAGGAACCCCAGGATACTTATATAAGATCAAATATATTTAATCAAGTAAAACCGGAGAGGTACAAAGCTATGTGAGACCTAAAGAGTGTTTTAGCCTGAGGCAATAAGGTAAGAACACACTGTAGCAGAGAGGAGGAACTTCTACTTAGGAGTAAAGATAAAGTTGATACCTAGCCCTGAATTTAACAGCTGAGTTGGGCATTATCATTCAGGTGCTACCGTGTACCGTGTACATCCAGTAGAAATCATGAGGTAAAGGCAAGGGTGTCTGGCATAGATGCCAGTAGTAACATATAACACTGAACTATTTTTATGAACATGAACATCATTCTAGAACCAAAGGATACAATGACAGTAAAACACAGAAACTATGTGTAGGAGATTGAAGTACCATGAAGAACCAGATACTGAGTCAGAACATGAGAAAGAAATGACCAGGAGCTGGGTTACTGGTTCAGACTCTACTCAGTGGTCAGGGGAAGGAGTAGAGGAATGAACAGGTCCAGATTTGCATGCCAAGGATCACCCTTACTGTGTGTAGGTATAAAGGTCGTATGACAATAGTATGGAAGCTGACACAGGAGGAGAGCAAGTACGAGGCCAGCTTAAGTTACACTGTGATGCCCTGTCTCAAGCAACCACAACCCCAGGCACAAGAATATATGGGTTAAACAACCAGGCTGAAAACCGAAAAGCATGCAAAGGGTCTTTGATCCCCTAGGCAAGAGGCGATGCTGGCTTTAGTTAACATAAAGAATAACAATGAGGGAGAGCTGAAATAAATTTGAGAGGCAGTGGAGATACAGTAAGAACACAGGAGTAACAGTGGAAGGCAAATATCAGTACTGACTCCTCAGTTTTCCACTTAGATATACGTCCTACCATGACAGGGCACACAGAAAGACAGTGTACATCAGCAGATGCAAAACAGTTACTGTTGACACTTTGTGGTTAAAGAATGTCATGATATCCAGGCACCCAGCTAGTGCTCCTATTTAGCAATTGGAATTATGAGAATGAAGCTGACAAAATAAAAACCTCTGACGAGAAAGTGCAAATTTGAAAATCATTAAATTCATATGAAGTAGATTAAATGACATTATTTAATCTCGTCTGGGACAAAACTCGATGATTAATCCCTCATGAGAGCATCAACAAGCAGAGAAGAGGTAGAAGGATTATAAATGATGACTACAAGAAACAGTGCTTTCCTGAAACAACAGGGAAATTGCACATAGGAATTCAGACTGTGACAACATGCATGAGACCTGTACATGCTCAAGGCACACAAAATCCCATCACAGAGGGATGATGGTAAGCATAAAGTTCTACCCTTAGCTAAGAAGCTATTGCCATTTGATAGCTGCTGGGAAAAAAACAAAAACAAAAACAAACAAACAAAAAAAAACCGATTTCCTTTAGGGGTGTGAACCCTTGTAGCTCAATTCTTTTGGGAAGCTCCCCCCCAACCCAAGAGTGTTTGGGCAACATAAATTGGACTCAATGTATTAAAAAGGGGAAGGGGGAGTATGTGTATCAGGAGTAGTCAGGAGTGAATATGATCAAAATATATTGTAGGAAATTCTCAAATAATTAGAGTATTCTTTTTAAAAGGGAAACCGAGGGGCTGGAGAAATGGCTCAGTGGTTGAGGGTTCTTCCTGTTCTTGCTGTGGACGGGGACTGGTTCCCAGCACTCACATGGTAGCTTACACACATCCTGAACTCCAACTCCAAGGGACCTGGTGCTTCCTTCCAGTCTCTATTGGCAACACACACACACACACACACACACACACACACACACACGTACACGCACATGCACACACACACACAGACACACACACCACACACGCAAACACACACACAGCACACACACACAGATGCAGACACACACACAGACACACACACACACACACACACACACACTACATACATACATGCAGGTAAAACACATACATATGAAATAAAAATAATAATAATTTTTTTAGAAGAAGCAAAACGTTAATGTGACCATGCCAATTTCAAGGTGGAGTCTGCAGAAGGCTGTCAGGGTTAGATGAGAGAAAAAAAGAACACACACACACACACACTGACTCATGTTGACCAAATGATATCATATGGGGATGTAGAGGCAAGAACATCACCAGTTACATTTCTGTGATGTTGGGTCAGAATAATGAGTCAACGTAAACTTTTCACTTTAACTTTTCCAGTCTTATATCAGTGCAGCGGAAAGCAGACAACCATCATTAGCTAGTTCTGAGCTGATGAGGCCAGGGAGAGGCATATGATAAAATCAGAAGAGTAGGCAAAGCTACCTAAGAAAAGTTTCTACTAGAGACCAGAAACAAATGAAGGGCACAGCAACACTAGGTGTGAAACGAGAGAATTTTCAGATGGGAAAACTTGCACGTATCAGTCCTCCAGAAACCTGGCACTGAGGATTAGCACCTATTTACAAACCGAACATTTTCCAAACATCACAATAGTTTCAAAGATACCTGTGTATTCCACTGAAGGGAAGTAGCATTCAGACGGATTTTCGGTGAGATGAAGCACAAATTTTTCAAGTAGTTCTCCTAACGCTGTAACAAACAGGAGAGTAATTAGAAATTTAAAAGTCAAGAGGGGACAATGCGTGACAACGCATCTTTAAGTCACAAACATGAAGATCACAGCACATGAAGATCACTTGAGAAGGACTGGAGGGAGGGGAAGCTTGTAGGACAGAATCTTTTTTAAAAAGGTCACCTCAACTCTACAGTTCTGAGGAGTTTAATTCAAAATGCAGGCTTTTATTAATATTCATAATGTTTCTGATTTCAATTAAATTTTAATAACTTCCCTGCGAACTTATTCAGTATATAACTAAAAAAGAATTCTCTATCATATTTAGATTACCTAATGATTACTTCAGAATTTGTTAAACGTTTTTAATGTACTCATTAGGTTATCATATTTTGTCATTTGTATACACAAAAGTAGTGAACTCTAAGACGAGGATTAGTGCACAGCACATGCCACTTTCAAATCTGTGACATATTATGCCTTCTACACTTGGTAGCTGATGGTATCTGTTCCAGGACCAGATCAAACAAAGCATGCACTATCTGACAAAATGGTTCCCTTCTCGGCCCGTGTGATATCACAGTGTTGAATACATCCTACAGATGGAGGCTCCAGGGGATTATAATTAATATGCAAACCAGAGGAATTGTTTTTATTTCTCTAAAGAAATCTATCTGTACAGTAGCTGATTGCTTAACAATGAAGAAAACAGTCTTGAGCTACATTTTTAAGATTGTACCGTTCTCACACTTAGAATATTAACCATGACCTTTATTAACTATATGGATCCTACTTCTCATGCAATTATACTTGAAGCATAAAATTCCTCAAAGAAAAACTAATGTTCAACATGTAACACTCATATAATAAAAAAGGAATGGTGTGGTTTTCAGTAACTCTGGACAGCAAGCTATATAAGCATAACATTTTGATGACTAGAGATAAAAATGAAATGTTTTTATTCATTGAACTCTATTAATGATATGATTTCAAAGTGAAATGAGTATTTAAAAACACAGAAATTTAAGTCATGGCTTAAGAAATACCTCTGTATACAGGTCTGAGTTTGTAATTGCTTAGGCTGGTTCTACATTTACAAACACAGGCACAAATTTATCAGATTTCTAAAATTGTTTCAAATGTCTTTTATGAATCCACATATAATGTCCCCAGGTGACAAGTTTTAACATTTATGTCTATAAACTTCTGAGATAGATCTTGTAGAATGACAATGTGATGAACTTCACATATAATAATTCTTAATTTCATGGTTAAGACTAATAATCTAAAGTGCAAAATATACAATAACAAATATTGTTCAGAAACATCATTTTCAATGGAAATGTCCATTTAGACCTTCAATTATAATGTACTTATCTTCACTGAGCTCAAGCATATTTGCTATGTGCTATGTATTCAAGTGGGACAAATTAAAGCATATTGCTTGGCAATTACTGAGGTGAATTCTCTTTCAAACAAAGCATGTTTTCTTCAAAAACCGGGGTGTGTTACTGTTTCTGTGCATAGGCTCATACATCAATCTGCATGTTGCTGTGAGCCTCACACCAGAAAACACAATATTTACCTATATGCATGATACTGATACCTGTCATGGGAGTTACTAGATTTGCCACTGACCCATGAGACTTGAGCAGGGACAGGACGGTTCAAAGGGAAGCTAGAGAAAAGCACAATCCCATCTCTCTTGTCCCAGTGGAAACAAAGGGAGACAGGGGATTCTGATTTCTAATCCTCCAGCTACTGGGAGGAGATTTTAAAAACCTTATTTTGGTTTTTGTATTTTTTAGACGCAACAAACTCAAAATGCCAGCAAAATCTCCCCAAACCAAAAAAAGTATCAAAAGTCACCAACATCCTGGCTTGTTGGTGAAAGATTTTAAAACTTGGGGGGAGAGAAGCAATTCTTAATGTTACAAATTAATTATAGAATACTACCCTGAAATGGCTATGAAGGATTTTAAACTATGGCCTTTCTACCTTTAATTATGCCAGGTCTCTAGAGTTCCAACATAGTTAAAAGACTCCACGATTATATTTATAGGCCTAAAAGAGCTCATGGGTTTTCTGTAGATGAAAAACTGACGGCAGAAATTGAAGAGAAGTGTTGTCTTCACTTCTCTGTTGACCTTGTCCCACCCCAACCCTGACGCTACCGTACTGTTAATATCTCCCTACGCTCATATACTGTAAGATGATTACTCCCCACTGTTGTGGGATAATCTTTTTGTACACTGTGAAGGTGTGTCTTTGCCAAGGAGCCTTCTGGTTGGTTTAATAAAGAGCTGCATCGTCATACAGGTAGACAGAAGACGATATGTGGGATTTCAGGGCAGCGAGGGGGGAATCTAGGCACACAGCTAGGCTCAGAACAAGTTGGATGATGGACCTGTGGCAGAACGTGGATTTAAAAAAATTATGGGCTAACTAAGTTATAAGAGCTAGTTGGAAACAAGCTTTCCTAATTAGTAATAAGTCTCTCTGCTGTTATTTGGAGGCTGCAATCCAAAGATAGTCTGACAAGAAAGCCTACTACACCCTACCAAGTTTAAGGCTGTTATAAACAACTGGTCACACCAGGGGGAGCAACAGTCAGTTTTCTTCAGGAGAAGGGGAAGCAGAGGGAGAGGTGAAGTCAGCATAAGCACTTTGGAGCAAAAGGTAGTTGTGGGAAATAGGAAGACTTAGAGGCGGGGAAATGGGAAGTAGGTTTGATATTAAAACATACTGTACAAATATTAGGTAAAATATATTTTTCCTTTTCTTTTAAATTTAAATTAGAAATCAAGCTTGTTTTATATGCCAATCCCAGTTCCCTCACCCTCCCTTCCTCTCCAATCCCCCCCTCCCAGCTCCCTATCCCATCCCTTTTCTGCTCCCCAGGGAGGGTGAGGCCTCCCATGGGGGGATCTTCAACATCTGTCCTATCATCTAGAGCAGGGCCTAGGCTCTCCCTGGTGTGTCTAGGCTGAGAGAGCGCGCCCCTATGTGGAATGGGCTCCCATATATTCTCAAAGAGATGAAACATCTGGGAAGAGAGCAAGTCAGGAGAGCCCTGACTTAAGAATGAGACCAGCGCTCATCAATGGTTTCTGGAGTGCCATGCCCCCTTCCATCAGGAGAAAAGGCAGTGACTGCTCAGTCTGTGAATCAGACAACAAGCCTACACCGGTCACGGAATCTGCCTAAACCCCGACCTCTGTTTTTCCAGCTTTCAAAACTGTGAGAAATAAATTCACACTTTTAAGGCTGTAACAAACTAAATCCCCATCACTACAGCAAGTGCTTCTGAAACAAGAACAACACAGAGGCAAACATAAAACTGCCTGCTGGACTCACTCTGCAAACACACTCAGAAATGATTATATGACTGCAGTCTCATCAAGAGAATGTGAGAGCAACATTGACAGTTCCGTTTTCTCCCTACTAACCTGCAAGTAGGTAGTGACCAGATATTTTGTTCCTCTGACCCTTGCATACTCAAGAATGGAATCTTTTTTCTCATGTCTCTTCTCCTCCAAATTAGAATCCTAATTTTGTAAGAACTTGAACTATACAACTCTATCTAGTTATTAATACAAATTATTGCACGCACAGCCAGCTTGTTATTCTCGATGTTTTCAAGTTGCTCATCTCTTCTTTCACTCAAGTCTTTCCTCTGTTGTATAATCACGGATTCATGAGTAGTAGGGACAGCCGTGCTGTGGGGTGGCCTTCCTTCAGAGAGAGCATCTCTCTTCATTTCTGAGGGTAATTGCAGTGTGATGATTACTGCTCTCCCCACTGCCCTCTGCATTGCTTATCCCTTGTAGGAAAGGCACTGACTCTCTTGGCTTCCAAGACTGTCTTGTCTTGCTTTGGAAAGTCTGGAGTCATTATTTTGACATGTGCTTCTCCATTTCTTCTCAGGCCTTATAAGATCAGTGCTCTTAACAAATTAATAAGCTTCCTGTCATCATTTCTGTAAGGCCAAAACAGGAACCTTGTACTTAATGGGAGAACAAGAAAGGAAAAATATACCTTGAAGATTAAGGGTTCTGTTTGCACTTAAACAGTTAAGAATAAGCTCCTGTCGTCCTGTGCTAAGTCCTTGCAAGAAGAAATTCCCTTTCTTAGTTCTGACGTAAACTGCTTGAGACCCCATTCACATGATCCTTACCCTTGTTCCTTCTCTTTCCCTGTATCTTTCTAACAATGTCTAACAGCCAACTCTCTCACCTGTGTGAGCACCTTATCTCTCCTATAAAAGGGACTTCAAGAGGCCAGCAGGGGCTGCTCCCAGAATCCTTATTTGGCATGACAGCCAGCTGGCTTTAATTTGGTCTGTTCTCCTCCCGATTCTCAGGTTTAGTGGTCTCTTCAAACACTTTTGTTGTCCCAGACTATCTTTTGGGACATAAATACTGAGCATGGCTCAGAATCATTTTCCATATTGTTTTCACGGGACAAGAAGTTAACTTTCTGACAGTCTTTTGCCCTTGGGAAGCTGCCCTCTCCCTGGCTCTGTAGCTGGAGGAAGCAGGGTTTTATTGCTCTGTTCTAGTTTCCTGCTTTTGTTGTTATTCTCCACCAATAAAGCTAAAATATACTAGTCGAAAGTACACAAAGAAAATTCACTTCCACAGATCCTAAGCAGACAGCTTGCCTTCTGTTTTCTAGAGATATTTTGTTTGCTGTATGTGGGATACCACAGGTGTTTACCTTTGTATCCCAGAACAGAAAAGGACAAAAACACCCGACCCATCTGTAGCACGAATTCTAGTTGGTATTAATAATAAAAACCCAGAGACGCATGTTTGGGTTCAAGCTGAAGGTCGGAGAAGCAAAGTGGCCAGCCACAAGAGAGTCCTCACCTCTATCAATGCTCAGATTGAAGGGGCGATCGTGTCCTCTGATTGCATCCCCAGACTGTACTGAGCTCCTGTCTCCTCCTGCCTGCCCTATATTCCTCTCTAGTGCTGGGATTAAAGGCATGGGATCCCAAGTGCTGGGATCAAAACTGTGAGCTCTGTTTCTCTTTTAGACTGATTCGCTCTCATGTAGCCCAGGGTGGCCTTGAACACACAGAGATCCAGCTGCCTCTGTCTCCCAAGTGCTGGGATTAAAGATACAGCCACCACTGCCTGTCCTCTATGGCTAACTAGTGATGTAGGTGTGTGGTTAACTAGTGGCTCAGCTCTGCACTCTGATCTTCAGGCGAGCTTTATTTGTTAGATTACAAACAAAATAGCACCACAACCATCTTCCAAAAGCGTGGGTCACTTTGGAAGCTCTTTTCACAGTTTTACTAAGTAGGTCCTTTAAAGGCAAAAATTTAGTTCTGTCAGATAAATCAGTCTACCGTGTGTTTTTCTTCTTTTATTGTTACCTTCTTTGACAATGTTTTTAGGGAAAGGCTAAGAATTAAGCACAGAGCCTTCTCCATGCTAAGCAAAAGCTCTGACACTGAGGTATTCTTGCAACCCTGATATCTTAAAAGAAAAGGCACCTGCAGCCCAAGCCTAATGACCAGAACTCAATCCTCAGGACCCACAAGACAGAAGGAGAGAATGGACTCCCACAGGCTCTCCTGGACTCTACATGTATGTTATGCTACTCTTCCCACCCTCTCATGTACACACATGCATGCATACTATGTGTAACACACATTTAAACACACAGGAATGCAATATAATTTTTTAAATATAGAAATAATCACTAAATAATAAAATTATAAATGAAGTCATGCCTTTATCTTGCTTATTTAACGTAATTAGGAAGCTCGTATATTTGCAATCCAGGAACTTTAGGGGCTCAGGCACAAGACTTTAGAGTTTTGGGTTAATCTACTTTCCATAGCAATATTGTGTCCAAAAAAATTCATGTACTGGATAATAGTGATCCAGATGGTGAATAAGAAGTACTTCAGTTAAGACAGTATCTTATGTAACATGTTCTTAGGAACTAAGTGATGAAAATCAAGGAATTTGGGATTGAAATATATATGTGTACATATATTTATATGTAAATATGTGCAAATGCATGCGTGTGTATGTGTGTGTGTGTATAACCATGTACAACTGAAGTTTCTATTGACTATTAAATACATTGTAAGTGTTTTACAGTGACCATCTCAAACTGTAGTGAACACATATGGGAATTTTAGTTGTGAATCTGTCAATATCAATGAAAAATAGAAATATATGTAGGGGATATATTAAACTGTAAAACTACTAGATCACTAGATTAATGGGAGATATTGATTACACTATAATGAGGAAGTGGTGAGTTAATGGGGAGCTGACTCTAGAATACTGACGCAAGGGTGGGGAAGCCCACATCTGGGGTTGGTTCAGTTTCAGAATCAATCCCACATCTGGGGTTGACTCAGAACTGGATTACTCACAGTAGACAGGCACTAAGTCAGGCAGCAAAGCCAAAAGGACACCAGGAGTCAGTTAATTTACTGACACTCTCCTGACAGTGAAATAGAAAAACAAAAACAAAACCCACAAAGAAAATTCTGGAATGATTTGTTTCCTAATGAATAAAAAGTCTAGGACCTAAAGCCACATTTGAAATTCAACCAGTGAAGTAGAGAATGCTCCCCTCTTCCTCCCCCCCCCACCCCATTTCCTTCTGGTACTGGAGTGGGAATGCAGATGGAGGAAACACATTCCAACAATCATACAGTCTGAAAAACAGTTGTTTCTCAGGGGCTGAAAGGAGATTCAAACCAAAAGTGAGGTGAGGTGAGGAGGAACCTAATGTCTCTTCATTTTTTAAGCACTGACATGTCTTTGGGGGTCGGGAGAGATTCTGGCTTAGGTAAGCATCATTTCGCCCGGGGGGCGGGGGGGGGGGCTGTTGAGTGTAGGAACACACAGCTGACCATCCCCACAGGCTTCCATGATCCTCTCATAGCTTACTGTCTGGAAAAAAACCTAGAAACACAAGGAGCCCACATCAAAAAAAAAAAAAAAAAAAAAAAAAAAAAAAAAACTGGGCAATTTTCTCTTAACTATTGTGAAGATGACCAGATATAACTAAATTTCCAAATACTATTATTTATTTTGGTTTTTTTTTTTTTTTGAGACAGAGCCTGTACTGGAACTAGCTCTGTTGGCTGGCCTGGAACTCACAGAGATCCACCTGCCTCTGCCTCCCAAGTGCTGGGATTAAAGGCGTGTGCCACCACTGCCCAGCGATACTTTTATAAATCTTAAGGGAAACTAAGCATAGTTTAACTGCTCATTTATACTCATACTGTGGAGAATAATCTAAGATTTGTTGCCACATAAATATTGTATTGTTCTCTGAAAATACCATTTTCCAGCAAGGTGTAAATTAAAATTTTAAATTCCTGATTTTAATTTTATAAAAAAAAATATGAAAACCACTAAGTATGGCTGATGAAATGAGGTCACTCCTTAATGACAAGTTGTAGGAAATCTAGCTCATAACAGCATCAGGGCAAAGCTATGGCTTCCAGAAACTAAAGCAGTGAATAACTGAAGTTAAGCTTGCTTGATAAGTTCCCTTAACACAAAGCTTCCTTAGGAATCACTCAATTTGTTTGGTGGATGCCTGGCGGGGGTTTTACTTAATGTCACTAATAAAAAGATACAGCAACATTAGATGTATGAAAGTGAAGACTGTTGAAACCAGGTAAATTGTAGCCCCAGAAAAGGCAGGGGGACCTCAGAGCTGCCCGCCACATCACAGTCCAGACCGTAAAAAAGGCTTCGGGATGTTTGACCATCGGTTCACTCAGAACTACAAGTCTCTTGGGGGGGGGGGGGCAATGGCCTTTTCCAATTATCATTATGTTTCCTGCACACACGGGTAGAAAGCTTCAGGAGCTACGGCTTCGGTTAAAGTAATTTTATGCAGGCAGATCCCATTAGAAGGCACCACACTCACCTTCTCCACTCACTGAATCCGGCTTGGACTTCATGGTTTTACAAAACTGTCTTCGGCAGTTTTCTATCCACTCTGTTTGTTTGTCAGACATTTTGAAGCATGATAAGAGCTTTCCGATATCACTGTCTAGTAAGAAAAATAACATGTCAGAATATTACAAACTAGATAGGGTCAAATATCCATAGTGAGGCGAACAGGGTTAACAATAACACTAATAACAAAATAGAGCAATGATAATTTCTTACAAGAAAATAACAGCACTCCACTCTGCATATTAGAGCCATAAAATAATTGAGGGTTAACTAAACACTAGTATACAACAATTGGCAATTATCAGAATGGTACTGCATGACTAATGGCAAACTACATGCAAAACACATCGCTAGACAGGGAACGTTTCTTGTGGAAGACAGGAAAAGAAGAGCCAGCAGCAGAGAACCTCATCAGATTTCCTGCAACAATGTGCAATTTCCAAACGATTATTTACATTTGAACTTCCCTACTTAATATTTGCAGACTTTGGTTGGTACTGGGTAACTGACCATGGAAAAGTGAGGCTACAGGAAAGAATAAACTATTGCCTTCCTGTACATGTACACACAGAGAGAGCAGTCCGGCTGAGGTGCAGAAGGTCCGTGATCTAAATTACAGTTTTAATTAGTCTTAGAAGCCTGACACACATCATCCATCATCCCACAGTTGTCACAGCTGGAATTGTGTTTGTACGCATAACCGAGGATGGATTAAGGGTATTGAAGTTACGAGGAAAGCTTTTCATGATCTCACCATGGCACAGACTTTGTATTCGGCATGTTCCTGCCCTAGACTCAAAGTACTGGGATTTTAGGTGCGTGCCACCATTCCCAGTTGCAAACAAGATTGACAACCTTAGAAAATCAAGATGATACACAAGTAACTCCCTGCCAAAAAGTACCCACTGCCATTTAAAAAATTAAAAAATCAAACTGAAATCATTATAAAATTAAAAATGTGGTCAACATCCAAAGAATATGAGAAAAGAACACTGTGATTTATAATTAGTAAATGAATCAATTAATGAAAAAAGGCTGCCTGAGATAAACATTAAGCACAACTGGAGATTTGGAGAAGCATAAAAAGGAAATGGTTAAGCAGTGTAGTTTATTATTAAATACTGACCTCCCACTCAGAAAAAAATAAAAGCAAATAATATTTGTATAACCACCTTTATAAATCTTGAGTCATTATAATGAGCCAAAGGAAATATGTACAGAGGATGTATCCTATACATTTGTATTTGTGTGAAACGCTAGCACTGGAAGAATGATCTCATAGCAAACGGGTTCTTGGGTGGATGCAGTTTTGTTCCCCAGGGTACATTTGGCAATAGGCATTTCAGCTGTCACAGCTGAGGAAGTGGAAGGAGAGATCTGCTGGCATCTGATGCGCGGAGGCTCAGAGATGCTGCTAAGATCCCTACATGCCAATACTGTGTCTATAAGTTGCTTTGTCATGGTGTTTTATCACAGCAATAGAAAACCTAATGAAAACAGCCACCACACTAGCTTAAGAGGTTGACAATTATGACACTTTTATAATTCTGGCTGATTTTTAGGTGCAATACAAGGGCCTGTATAAAAATGAATCATAAATAAGTATGTGTGTGTGTTTGTGTGTGTGTGTGTGTGGTCACACACACTGAGTATAATAATTTCATTACTGACTTACATCACCATTTTAATAGCAAACAATTCTATGTAGTTCTAATGATAACATATTTCTAGAAACTTAATATCATAGATTATCACTGTTATAATAATTTAGCCCTGATAAAGTTACCACAAAAACCTACCAATTTTCTTTATCTAAAAGTTAGTTTGGTGTATTTTAAACGATAGAGACAGACATGTCCCTCCTTCCAGTCATATTAACATGGCTATCATTTCGTATTACCCTTATTATACTAAACAAGAGAAAGCACTGAAAGAGTCTCCCAGAAGCACAGGGGATAAAGACTGACATTTACCCAACTCTAAGTCTGAAAGATATAAGTAACGTTTCCTCTTTCAACGTCATATAGTTATTGAAGCAGGTTTCATCACAACATTTTCACATATGTGTAAACATACTGTGGTGGTTTGAATAAGAATGCCCCCCCACAGGTTCATAGATTTGGATGGCCACCAAGGAGTGGCACTATTAGGAGATGAGGCCTTGTTACAGGAAGCGTGTCATTGGGGGAGGCTTTGAGGTTTGAGAAGCCAGGGTCAGTCTTTCTTTTTCCTGTTTCTGCCCACGCGGACGTAGAACTATGAGCTGCCTCTCCAGCACCATGCCTGCCTGTGTGCTGCCATGCTTCCTGCCACGGTGACAATGGACTCAACCTCAAAACAGCACTTTGGAGGTGGAAGCAGAAGAATCAGGAGTTCAAAGCCATCCTCAGCCACATAAGGAGATTTGAGCCAGTGAGAGCTACATGCAACCCTATCTCAAAAGAATTCTTTAGAAAAATAAATCCTTTACTCCCGTCATATACAATTCACAGTGTCTGCAGACTTACACTTTTCCTAATACTCTCGTCATAATGTGCCAAACAGATAACACACATGTAGCATGGCAGAAAACTCGTGTGTTCACCTAAGACATGATATGGCTCCTGCATACAGAAATGCATAGAAATTAAAGGTTCAAGAATTTATACTGAATTTATTCAGACCTCAAAACTTATATGCCAACAAGTTTGGCATGGAATTCACTTACGTTTTGTATTATGCACTCTGTCCTTAATCACACTTAATTTGTGAAATAAAATAAAATCATGATTGGCAAAACTAAGAGAGAATGCTATTTATAGTTATGGATTATAGCCTGGGCCATTTTCTCATATGGGAATATGGGAAAATATCAGAAGAATTTATCTGTGCTTTAATATTATCTGGCACATTGCACTGAAGAGTGATTATCAGTAAGGAACTTGTTCTTTATATAGTAGTATGAGAATGTTTTGCCAGGCAGAAAATCAATGTCCCATCAGATAAGTAGAAATATAACAGAAGAAGCAGTAAAATAGAATACTGATGCCATAAAAGGCTAAATTTGAAATAATTGTACAATGAAAGACTGTTCATTTTCTGAGTTTTTTCTAATTATGGAAAAATGGGATAAAGCACTCAAAAGGCATACCTTTATGTGTCAGTAAAAATGACAGTGACATTTTGTAGATGACAGAATAAGTGTAGCGAGTACCTAACTCAAGAAAGAGGTCTACAGACATCTACTGCAAGGAGCTTTCAACCACAAAGCTACATGGATTGTGGCTGTTTCGTCAAATCTGAGAGTTAGAATTTCTAAAGCCACATTAATTTATAAGTAATTTCCAGTGTCTAATGACAAAAGCCAGAAAGGCAGAATTTGATGATGTGAAAACAAGAGGAGGAACCAATATTGATTCCTCTAGTCACTGAGAATGTGTGTATTTATTGCATACTACCTGTTTTACTTAGATTTTTGATGCTGTGACAAAACATCAAAATGAATGCAGATTTTTTTTTTTTTTTTTTTTTTGGCTCACACATTCAGAGGCTTTAGTTCAACATTGCTAACTGTATCACTTTGAGGATCTGAATGGGTATGTCCATGAATATACTAAAAATCAATGGGCTGTCTTCTTTAAATGGGTACATTGTATGGTATATTAGTTGTATCTCCTTGTTTATGTCTGTGTGTCTGTCCTTTTCTCATCCCTTGCTGTCCCAGGCAGGACTGTCCCTGGAACCATCCTGGATGTGGTGCCACAACATCAAGATGTATGGAATATGAATATAATAGAGTTTTTTATGTTGGTCATATAAAGACAGTGTGTGTGTGTGTGTGTGTGTGTGTGTGTGTGTGTAGTCTCTGTGTGTGGCATATTTGTACGTGCCCAAGTGTCTGGGTGTGCTCAGCTGCGCAGATATGTGTGGCCAGAGGTTGGTGTTGACATGTCTTTTATTGTTTCTCCACTTTCTATTTAAGATGTGGTCTCTCACACAACCTAGACTTGCCATTTAGGCCAGATGGACTGGCTAGTGAATCCATGGGACCTGGCTGGCTGTTTCCTCCAGCATACGTGTGCCATTACACCCACTTGTATGTGGTGGCTAAGGATCTGAACTGAGGTCCTCAAGCTTGCTAGGCTCGGCATGTACTTTACTCACCAAGACCTCTCCCCAGCAGGGATAAGTCATTTTTAAAAATAATAAAAGATGCCAGATACAGAAAAACAGAATATGGAGCATTTCTTATTTTTCTGAGATATTTCTCTCTAATCCTTCAGTGTCTGGAATGTGCTACTCGATTCCTCAGACTACTTTTCAGTTTCAGCACATGAAGTCTATATTTCCCTCACCTCTTACAAAAGAAGAAGTCCCGTTTGTGTCCTGCAAAGTGGGCAATATAAATTACACTAGAATAGTTCAGGAATATTTCAAGTATTAATTACTGCTAACAATGCAGTGCAATGCTTGCATTTGATGCTCTGTGCTCATATACAAGTACGTGTATATAGAACATATATATGTGTGTGCACATACACATAGAAGTCATTCATCACCAAGGAACTAACAATGTTAGAGACAATGTAACCTAAGAGGAGATGCTAACTTTAGCAAGCAGGATAAATCTAGAAACTGGGAGATAAATGAGGATCATTTTATCATGTGCACATAACTGAAATGAATTTTTTTTTCAACAATGCAATAACATTCTAAAATTCTGTGTGCAAATGATGACTAACGTAACGCCTGTCAGAATCAATGGGTCATTCCTTCCGAATCAAAAAGCAAAGTGCAAAATAAAGACTCCTGCTATTAAAATAACATCCATGTCTTAAAGTATTATTGGCTTGAGCACATCATTGCACAGTTAATGTTTACTTAATTGTTTCAACTACACTAGTTCTGACTTTACCTTTTTGGACATGAACTTGGTTCCCTTTTTCTCATTAAGTTCACAAGACTACGATCACCATTCTCAAATCTGAGACAAAACTAGAAGTAATTTTAAGTTCCTCTGGCATTTTCTGTGACCCTCCCTCATCTACAATCATGGCACAGATATCAGGAGCATAAGAATGAGAGACATTATGAGGTCTGTACATCTTCGCAAAA